CTGGACATGGTTACAGACCAAAATATTGAATTTAATGAATGCTGCTTCCAATCCCTTAAGTTTTATAGTTTGGCTGACTTTAACTAACAAATATTAATTGTTTAAAGCTCAGGAATACTGAGGTCCCTTGCAAGCTAAATTTGGCTATGAGCATATGAATCAGGCTACAGTCATCCAAATGACTAATGTGTAAATGAATGGCACTGAATCTACTGCTAAAATCCACTTTATTTTGGATTATCTGCCTCTGCAAACTAGTCTTAGAGTTCTAAAGACAAACAAGAAAGGAAAAAACCACAAGAGGATGAGAGGGAAGTGGGGAGAGAAAGCAAAATGTAGAGACAGTGAGAGACAAAGACAGACTAGAGAGACTGACTACATCCAGAACACTGGTGAGTCACCGACTAGAGATTAGACAAGAGGCTCTAGGGAACTGCCATAACTAACCAAGGTGTCCAAGTGAATTTAAAAGATTATGGATTATGTGATCATGTTAAGTTTCCAGAAATAAAGAACCTTTTTTTTTTAGAGAGTATTTTCAGCCATTGAATCCATGTATTTATCAACGGCTCCTAAAGAAAGACTACAGAGCCAGAACATGGCTGGGTCTACTGAACACACACAGATCAGGAACAATGCTGCAAAAATCAAAGTAAGCCAAAAAGAAACCCAGAGAAGAGTATTCCTCCTTTTTGCCTTGAGGATCACTACCATTATATTCACTGATCTTAACTGAACACCACGAAATATACCATGACCTGTGACAGTGTGATAACTCCATTTAAGCTACTAACAATCTTGTAGCAAACTGTTAGTGGGACAGTGCTGGTTCCAAGCCATCACCCAAATGACTTTACAAAGCTTGGAGCAGACAGATGATGATGGGAGACTCTCCACACTCCTTACTCCATTTCATCCATATTGATATCAGTTGCCTACTATAATCCAAAACCTAAGTGACCAAACTGAGCCCTGTCTGATGCACCAGGAAACAAACACCTCTCCCCTCCACAGGCTCCAGCCCACTGGGAACAGGCAGTGCTTCAACCCCATCTCCCTTCATTGTGCAAGAGACTTGTACAATACTTATTAAAGAGAGGAATGAATGCAATTTGCTGATGGAGATCACCCAACTGCACCAGAAACAAGGAGCTTTTAAGCTCAGCTTTCTAACTTTAATTCTGATTCCCTTTCACTATCAACAAGTATTAACATTTGACTACAATATCCTATAGGCAGAAATGTAGCTTTATATGCTATTTTGTCACCTGCTTTAAAAAAAAAAGCAGGTATCACTACCCCAAATTTCACATATTATTGGGACAAGTCAAGAGAGCTTTCACAAGTATCCTAAGTTACATTCTTTCTAACAGAGCTCTAAAAATATTCATTAACTTCTTTTCACATATGAAGCTGAAATACATAAAAACGATGTGTGCAGGAATGGAAGATGAGACCAACTGAAAACATGGTTTATTTTTGAAACTTACTTATTTTTGAACATTATTTATTTGTTTTTAAATAATCATTTTCTCCAGCTCTAAATCCATTTCCAAGAATTTAACTTACTGAATGACAAATCTGATTTTAAACAGCTAAACCCAATAGCCAATTATACCTCTCTAAACTCCTGTGAGACAAATATCAGCATGATATGTAATGGGACAATCCCCTGGCCACATGGAAAACTACTCTGTGAACAGATTCCAATGCTAATTTCAGTATGATAGGTAGTTGCAATAAAACCAAAACAAATCCACAACCAAAAAATCCACTTCTCCAATATAGCTGAAATGAAAAATTCATATGATGAAAACCAGATTTTTCTAGCTCTTATCTAAGCTATAAACCAGGAAATAAAATAATACAAGTACAGGCAACAGACTAACAATAAATGCTGAAAGACAATACTTGAAAACCTAACTAAAGCATTCAGAACTTAAAAATCACAACTTGCTTTGAAAAGTGCTGTTCATAAATCAAACTACAAAGTATGCTGCATCTGCAAGTGTCCTGTGCACTGAATATGGAATATTTAATTTGGGCTTTGACTTCACAGTGAATCATCTGCTTACTTATAGAATACATCAGGAAAAGCAAATAAGCAGCAGCAGCACCACCAAACAACCTCCCTCCCCTGCAAAAAAAAAAAATCTACGGAGGACAAAAAGGACACAAATACAACAGACTTGATAACATTTACTGCATTTCTGTGTCCCTCTTGTCTTATTTTGCTATTTAACAGCTTCCTTTCCTGTTACATACCTGAGATTAAGAGGTATAGAACACTATTTCAAAACCTGCTATCTAGTTCTTGACTTCTTTGCAAATGAAAAGTGACTGCTTGGGCAGAAGGGGGAATCATTTGGCCATAGAGTACTGCAGGTTCCAATTCATGTCTAAGTATTGCATATGTAGTAGAGGGAATAACCTGTTGCCTGATGATACAAAACCATCTAAATCTAGCAGTGGTGTGTTGACCAGCTCAGCTCTGGCTTCAAGTAGATACACAGCAGAGTTATGTAAATGAACAGGAGGATAAACTGCATACTCAGTGCTGAAGTTAGAGTCTATGTTAAATCAGGTCAAAATGTACATTCACAGCTTTTAGTGCAATATACATGCTGGGAGTTGTTTGAAACACCCACAGTTCAGATTTTGGAAGAAAACTACCTCAGCTAATTTATGCTAAATTTTTAACAGTTAAAATTACTATGTGTGTATGTATAAAAAGGCTATCCAGCAAGGAAATGTCTTATGAAAAATATTTTAGATATGCTTGATCTGGAGGCCACAGTCTATGCAGATCAAAACCTAACTTGCTCCTTTTATTGCAAAGACATGTTGCAACAAAATCAAAACAAGGAAAGAAAACCTCACAGAGCATTATTCTACATGAAATAAAAGCAATCATCAGCCACACCGCAATAACAACTACGGTAGAAAAATGTTTAATTACTATACAATGCTTATTCCCACAGAAGTGATTATACCAATTTGTCGCTAAGGTTATGAGGATAAATTACAACTCCCAAATACAGCAGGAAAGCTAAAAAGTTCAGTATCATCTCACAACAGGAAGACAAAACTTTCAAGTGCTACAGGGCAATATATTATTGTGCAGCAAACATGGTACTTGAGTCAAGTACCTGAGAATTTGCTTCAAAGAGCTCAGTAGAACAAGACTTTCAAAAAGCAGCTGTACTGTCCTCTGCAGCACACACCAAGAGCCAACGACTCTGCTAATGCAGAGGATGATGAACACACCCAAAAATACCTCCAGCTCTACATCACTCATATAAGGGAGAGACTTGCATACATCAACCAAAGACACTCACTGAAAACCCACTGTTGTTGCACATAAAGAGGTAAAAACAAGATTGGAGACTAGGAAGAAAAACAAGCACAAGAGACAAACTTGCACACAGTATTGCATAAGGACTTCAGTACAAGCATTCAGGAAAACTTCACTGACTTGCCAACCACCATCCCTGAACTATCCTAGAAACAATAAAGCTTTCCTACTTCCCCCCAACATCTTCTCAAATGATTCATTTTTCTAACAAAACATGTGGCCTATGCAAAAAGAGATCTTGCACACAGAAGTCACTAATGTCTCCATGATCTTTTCACAAATTTAAGATCATCATAGCCAATTCAAATACAAACACCCACTGCTCCCTCAGTGTTAGACACTATTTAACATCATTAGGTAATAAAAAGACAATGCTCCTATAGGAGGTTTTCTCAAGCCTGCAGTGATTCCCTGCCTTCAACAACATCACTTCAAAACACTACTGAAGTAAGAATGTTTTTGCTTTTAATAAGGTATTAACCAGAGACTCTTAAAATAAACTCCTATGGGATAGGAGAGAAGGTTCTTTTCTGAATTAATTACTGATAAAAAAAATTAAAATACATGACAAACACCTCACCCCAAGCACAAGAATATACATCCAGTTTTCACAGTGAAAAGAAGTTACCAATGTGTTTTCCCCACTTCCCCAAAAAACTGCACTCATACAAATGTTCCTCGACCATTCCATGAATAAATCAAAGCGAGTGGGTGGACAAAGACATAATAAAGTTTGCTGGTAACAAAAAAAAAAAAACCCCAACACTTAAAAATAGCACTAATTGTTAGTGTAGAGTTGCAAAGCAAGTTCTCCATGAAAATGGTAATAAAAGAGCAGATAAAATTTGGCATAAATACAAACTAAGCATGTTAAAAAGTAACTCGATGTCATAACAATGTGGTAACAAATGTACAATGTAAGAAAAAAACCTTGGTTTTCTACACTTTTTTTGAAACAGTATCACTTCAGAGTTCAGTGACAGTCAAAAAATGCAAGACTTAGTAACGGGCAAGAAAGTAAGGAAGAATCAAATTATCATTATGATTCTGAAATTGATGGTCTTAGCTAGTGCATGCAGTCATGATCACCCTGACTCTGAAGTTACACAGAAGAAGCAGAAGGATTCAGAAAATGGCATCAAGAACTAACCATAGGTTAGGAGAATTGACTATACAAGCAGATCCCAAGAGATTACAATTCTTCAGTTTGGTTGAGGAGAACATAGAAGTGGCATGGAAAATACTGTCTGGGGGGGAAAAAAAAACTTACGTTCTGAAGTACATCAATAACAACCAATTGTTGCTACTTGGAACATGGGGGAAAAAAACCTTACGTTCTGAAGTACATGAGTAACAACCAATTGTTGCTACTTGGAACACAATAGAAATCTGTTAAATCACTGGTCAGCACACAAGACAAGAATGCCAATATTTCTGGCACAAAACGCTTGTAATAATTGCCAAAACTATAATCCAAGTTAGAAAAATTCACAAGTCGCAGAGAGCAAGTCCACTAACTGTTATCAGAACCATATCCAAAAGGTTGGCTCTGTCCAGGAGAACTAAGCCCCTAAGAGCCTGGGTTTTGCTGGGACCTCTTTCCTTAAGCATCATTGCTGGACACAATCAGACCATCTATACTTACCTGAACAGACCCTTCAGCAGGGGTTGGGAAAGAAAGATGGCCTTTAGGCAGTATTCCACCATCCTTTTCATTAGCCTTTAACAGATATGTACTAAACTATCACCAAATTCCAACTCTATTTGATTAAAAAATGCTTATCTTTATGTGTCTTTGGAAATTCCAGCCAATACTGAAACAACAATTTCAATTCTCAAATATTCCGGTCCCTATAATGTGACTTTTAAAGGAAAACTCCAAGAGCTGCACACGGATTCTTAAAAAATAAAAAAATCACACACAACATAAAAAGAATAAGTGGTACCTCTTGAGATTTCAACTTCTCTATGTCTGTGGAGAGGTCTGAGCTTTTTCCATGAAGACTGCCATTTTCCTGTAAACAGACAAGTAAAAACCATTAGGACAAGAATAACATCCTATATCGAAATCATGGGGGAAAGCATTGGATTAGGAAGCAGAACATGTAAGACAATTATAACTTATTTAAACTCCACGTTAACACAAGAAGTGACCTATGAGTGTAAAAGGTTCAGCGCATCCTTTGCCTTGCCTCCTGAGAAACTGATCTGTATTCTTACAATACACACCCACACACTCATTTTAGCTCTTTCTCAGAGACATCTGGTCTAGCAGCATACGTAGGAGTAGTCAGAACTTATCGTTATTCAAAATTCTGAATCAGGAGTGTAATGTGCCTCATTAATTGAAAGAAAACCAAAAACTAAAGACCATATATCTTACCCAAAATTTATGCATATAAGCTTGATTTAGACTGGTAAATGAAGTCCAGTGCAGAAGGGAAATTCCTGTGTTCTCTTTTTTTT